TATGGTTCATGTCGAATAAGAGTGAGCTCCATGACTTGTTGATCTGATGAGTGTTTATGAATTTCTGCGTGTTTCATTCACCATTGGCAGTGGACAAAGTTTTGGAATAAGGTTTTAGTTGATATGAGGTTTGTTACCGGTGCTGGGTTTTTTTTAGGCAGAATCGCTGTAAGTATCTGAGTTATGTGGTATATCATGTGATTATATCTTGGGTTATGGTTATGGCTTGGTACAGCTTGTTCAGACTTATACAATGTGTAAATGGGAGATTCGGGTTTTCTAATGAATTTCGGATGTTGGAAATTGGGTTCCAAGGTTTATAGACTAATGTTGAACGAAGAATCTTCGGTGAGGTTGAGTTGACAAACTTATATGGATTGGGGTGATGCGGGATCACCTCCGGGTATGTAAATGGTAAGGTTACATAGTGATTTGATGGTTTTGGAACGACTCTTGGCATGTTCGAGGATGAACGTAAGTTTAAGTGGGGGAGAATGTAACGACCCGACCGATCGTTTTGAGCGTTTGCATTTTGTACGATGGTTCGAGGGCATGAGTAGCTTCGTATGATGTATTATGACCTGCATGTATCGTCGATTTTGTTTTTCAGGTGAATCGGAATAGATTTGGAAGAATGATTCTCATTTTAGAAGCTTTAAGTTGGAAGAATTGACCAAGTTTGACTTTTATGTATTTGACCCTGGATTGGGGTTTTGATGGTTTTGTTAGGTCCGGATGGTGATTTTGGACTTGGGAGTATGCCTAGAATAGCATTTGGATGTTCCTACACGGTTTCAGCACTATTTGGCGAAAGTTGACAATTTAAAGCTTTGGAAAGTTCATAGGTTTGACCGGTAGTTGAATTCGATGTTATCGGGTTGGGATTGTTGTTACGGGAGTTAGAATAGGTTCGATATGTCATTTGGAACTTGTATACAAAATTTGAATTCATTCCGGATTGGTTAGGCTTGAATCGGACACTTGGTTCGAAGTTTGATATTTATGAACTTAAGAGATTTATCTTGATCGATGATTCATGATTTTGATGTTATTATGTGTGATTTGAGGCCTCGAGTAGGTCCGTAATATGTTTTAGGGCTTGTTGTTATGTTTGGCCGAGGGACTCGGGTGAGTTTCGAGATGATTTCGGACAATTTCTAGGCCCTTTTTAGTTGTTGTCTTTTGGATACAGGGGCGTGCATCACGATCACGGACTTTGGGTCACGTTCGCGAAGAGAAATTTCTATTTGGGCATTGTGAATCGCGGTCGCGGAAGCCATTCTCGCTATCGCGCAGAGGAATTTCTGCTGTCAGAGAACTAACTTTGGAAGCTTATATTTTGCAATCTATAAGGAATTTGGAGATAATTCAAAAATAAAAGTTGTAGCCCTTTGTGTCTAGTTTTTATAAAATCAAATATTCTATCATTTGGAGTTTTGTAAAAGAAGTTAGAGTCATTAAACTAGAGGCTATCTGGAAGAGTTGGGCAAGCTTGTTGGAATTTATTCATCGTGATCGTGGGGACATAGCGAAGGGATCGGTGGTTTCAGTTGCGTGATCAAGTGATTTTGGACTTATATGTCTAGTAGTGTCCTAGGAGTGATATTTATAGCTCGGTGAGTGGTTGGATGGCTATACGATGAGTATGATGTGATTGTGGGATGTGTTCAAATGGCTTTGATGAGACGAGAAGGGTTGCTTGGAATGCGAAAAGTACTATTAGGTGCTTGATTTCTATCTCGATTTGTTGTACAATCTTGAGTTATGAGAGTGTTGAGGGATATTTCATGTTGTCCATATATGGGATGAAATAGATTCATATGTCCTGTTTAAGAGTTCAGACTCGGGAAGATTAAGTGATTGCGTAGTAGTTTTGGCCGTGAAAAGGCATAGAGAGATGCCAATTTGAGGCTAAGCAGGTGGGTCATCTCCTGCGGAATGTTCTGAGGTTGTGTAATTCTTATGATGTTTGTGTTGGGAGTTTCTTTCTACAAGTGGGTTACATATGTTCAATTTGAGTTTGGATCGCGTGAAAAAATTGACTTGACTATCACAAGAATGAATGTGCGTTTAGCAAAAGATTTGAAGTGTTTTATTATTAGTGCTATATGAGTTCATGAAGGATTTTGTTGAATTGCAGTGCAGGATTATGGCAGTAAAGGAGTAAAGGTATTGTGGGTTATCAGATATTGTGATCTATGGCTTTGAGCCAAGTGGTGGGTGGGGGTGGGGGCAAGGGTCTGCTATCGACTAATGGATTACATGGTTATGTATTATATTAGTTTTGGCCTGAAGCATGCTTATGGATCGATTATGACTTGAAGAGGTTGATTTGGAGGGTTACTCGAGTAAGGAAATTTCTGGATGCATGATGTATTACACCTTATGGATATATGGAAGTCTTGGAATGGTTTAGGTTTGTTGTTCGTGATAGATGTAAAGTTCTAAGAAAAGGGAGTCACTCGGTTGCGTTAAGGTGCGGTTACTTCTTTGAGTGTGGATGGGATGATGGAGCACAGACCGTTCGGCTTGTTTGGGAGGTGCATTTGAGATTAGAATAAAGTGGATGACTCTTGAGAAGGTTCTAATGAATTCAAGGTTCGTATGTGGTATTTGAGGAATTTCCAAATTTGTGAGTGGCTAAGACCTGATATTCGCATAGGAGGATGTTGGGACTCGCGGTATTTCTATATCATTATGAATTCTACATTTAAGTATTAGAAATGTAAAGGAAATAATTTTAGATTCACATACGGTCTCTTCATAGTAGGTATCTCGAATGCGGTATTTTGAGTAGTTTAATGGGAATACAATGGCTTATGGGCCTTAGGATGATGTTGTTTTATGCTAGGATCTCTCGGGGTGAGCGTTGGGTTAAGGGTCGTAGTGTGCTGACAAAGAGAAGTGTTAACTTGAAGGTAATTCAGAAGAAACTCGGAGGAAATAGGACATCTTGGTAGTAGGTTGGATAAGTATGGTAATGGTATGCTCGGTTTTTCTGGTTCTTTATGTGATGAGGATTTACAAGTGTTTTGTAGCAATACTCTTGGGCTTGGAAACCTACGTCACTTGGTTGAGTTAGAGGAATCCAGTTCTGATAGCTTGATTATGTGCAAATGGATTTCGAAGTGTTCTCGATGATTTCTGCCACGAATGTAATTCTCGTAAGATGATTGTGCATGAGAGACGAGTCGGTCATTTGAGTGATCGAGTCGGGATCGGATGTGGCTATTTTTTTTGTATTCTCGTGATTTGTAGACCGGGAGTCTAAGAGGCAGATTATTTCTTGGTTGCGGACTATGAATATATGGCCAAAGTTAGCAAGCTGGGAGTATGTGTCATGGTTAGGTTATTGTACACTTTTTGAGGGTTATTTATCTATTTGAGAATTTTCGGAGTTGATTTGGGTGCCAATTGGTAGACATAATGAGGATGTGTATTCTATAATGGGTCGGGTCAGTTTACTCTGCACTACTATTGTTGAAGGGTGTGTCATTCGGCTAGAGTTGAGTTGTTCGTGTTCTGATATGTTTGTGAGCACGTAGTTTTTGCCCTAATATGAAATATACTCCTAAAACATTCCAAAACAGCTTTTAATTATTCTATAGAATTTTCAAAATTATTCTTTTTTTATTTGATTTATTTTGTGCGTATTTGTGTTTTGTACATTTTTAGTAGCATTCTAAACCATAAAAATGACAAAAATATTTTATATTTTAATCTTTACATTTTTTAGATCTTAATTACATGTTAATTGCATTGCTAAAATACAAAATTACAAAAATGCTTTAGTTACTTTGCATTTCACATTTTAGGTTTAATTAATTAGTTTCTTTTATTTTATTTTGTAATACTAATTAATTATGTATTTAGTGTTTAAGATTTAAAAAAATTTAAAGAGTTTGATTTCGCAAAATTAGGCTTTAATTAGAATTTTTAGACTAGGTGACTAGTTTTGAAAATTAAAACAAAGGAAAAGAGGGCTGATGAGTTCAAAGGTGAAAGACCGCCGTTTTAGGCCCAAAATCGCGCTTTAGCCTACCCCATACCCTGTCCAAGTGTGGCCTCAAAGGCACCCAAAAAGGCGTAGTTCAGGAATAAAACTATGTCATTGCCAAAGTACCCATTTTAATAAAGAAAATTTGTAAAAATCCGATCCTTACACACCACCCTTAATCCTCATCGGTGTTTTAAAAGGCGTGGGACGTAAGACGGGACGTTTTACATATGCCTCAACGTGGCGTAAGCCCCGAGGCACGAGGCGTAAGCCCCATAGGTATTTAATTTTTAATATTTTATAAAATAATATAATGATAGTAAATATTTATAAACAGGTAAAATTGCATAAAAATTGAAGAAAACTATAAATATGTGAAATATATATGTGTGTGTGCGCGCGCGCGTGCGCTTCATCCCCACAAAAAACTAGTCAAACAATCTATTATACGCTACTTACAAGCAATGTTTTAAAAGGCGGGGGCTTAAGGTGGGACGTTTTACTTGATATGGGGCGAGGCGTAAGCCCCATGGATCTTTAAAAATTTTAATTTATAAATTAATAAAATAACATAATAACACAAAAAAAATAAATTAAAAGTTAAAAATTAAATGAAAATTAAAGAAATTCATAGAAAATAAATATATAGCATGATTCGTAAGTATAACTAATGCATACAAATCACGCATAACGTCTTTAACTTTTAAATAATTAATAACTTACAATTTCTTTAAAAAAATGATCAAACTCCACATTTTACCTTCCTAAAAGTAAATAATTAATAAAATCTTATTAGTACGCTAATTAAAATATTACTCCTTCATGAATAAATACAAATTAATTTAAGATATCGAATTAATAAAAGTGTATAACAAGGAGAGACAAATGAACTAAGACACAACCAATAACAAGTGAAGATATAAATTCGCAATACTATGTCTCATTCGATGAATAGAACTTTTATCATTAATTTGTTAAAGAATTTTGAAGGTCAACAATATTAATTAGAAAATTCGACATGTGATTTGCGTTAGAACTGTTAGGCGAGCCCTAGGCATTGGGCGTTAGGCGTGTTTAGGGCGCACGGTCGGGCGCTTAGGGCGTAAGCCTCACAGAACTAAGCCCCAGGACGTTTTGCAAGTGCCCCGCTCAAGGGCGAGCCCCGAAAATGCCTTTTAAAACACGGATACTCATTCTCTCTCATCTCTCTTGGGCGGCTGAAAATCGCTTCTGCCGCCCACCGTCGTCCCTCCGCCTTCACGCTATCGTTGACCGCCGTCGGAAATCACCCCACGGCGTCAGTCCATCTCCTCATCCCTAATCCATCATCCATTTCTTCAAAAACTCACCCAAATTCCACGATTAGCGGATATGAGAATCCAAGAAAATTTGAAATTGCCCCTTTTCGATTTCTTTACCCATTTGAGGTTAATATTCAAACCAATCGACATCTCTTGATGAGTATTGTTGGTTGGTGGTGGTTACGCCCCATTGTCCATTATCGCCAGAGTCCGGCTGTTTCCTCATCGACCGGCCAGCGACGGTTTCTTTTTCCTCTGGCAAAGTAAGAGGCATTGCTACACATAGCATTGGCCCCTGAGATTCCCGCTAGTGCTTGTGTAACAATCTCCGGCTTGCTGGAATCCACCATTGTCAATCCAATTGAGTTCTAATAGGTATATTTCTCTACCCTATTTGCTTGAGACTGTTGTTTCTAGGTTTGTTGTTTCATGCCTGTTATTTCGCTGAATATGTGACTTTTAATCAAATTATCAGTTAACTAAGCCCACGTGTCATTCTTAGGTGTTAATAGTTTGTTGTTTATTGTTAATCATTGAATTGTAAATCCGTTTGAATGGATCTTTGTTTTACTTAGTCTGCAGTTAATTAGGATGGTTTATAGAATTGATCAATCCATTTAGGTTAGTTTAATTTGGGCTGTTGAAAAGATAAAGAGATTGGGTCTGGGCAGTGTGCTTGAATTATTTCGGCCCAGGTCCACTCTTACAAGTTTTGATGGGTAAAAATAAAAGGGGGTAAAAGAAGAAGGCAAGAATAAAAGAAAGAGTAAGAAACAGGGGTCTAGAGGGGCAATTGGAGAATTAAATTTGAGGAACCTTATTGTTAGCTGTCTAGGGAGCTTCTAGAAGAGAGTAGTTAGGGCTTATGTGGAATAAAACAGTACAATAGGTCAATTATCTAGGAGCTGAGCATGTAAATAACAAAATTGAGAGGGAGTAAAAAGAAGGAAAATAACAGAAGCAACAGCGGGAAAATCTGTTATAAAAGATGCCTTCCCCTCACGGGCTCTTCTCATTCATACATATTCACTCATTCATACTCATACTGTCACTCTCTCACCTTCACACATGGATATTCACAACTAGTAGCTTAAAAAATTCTGGAATTCAAATCCAGATCTAGAAAACTCAAAAAAAAGATCCAAAAGAACAAAACAAAAACAAAACAGAAGAGTTTTTCAGAAATTGGTTCGATTTTCTGTTCTTCTGCTTCATTTTCCTGTAATTCTGGTTGATACTTGAGCTGTGAAGTTGCTGATCTACTGTTCCTGTTTGGCTGAGCTGTAATTTTCTCTTACTTAGCCTTTATTTGGCATTTCTAATGTGATTCCTGCACAATCAGGTACTCACCTTTGATTTTGAATTACTGTTGTTGGCAAAATGAATTGATTCCTCTTTTTCCATGACATTATGATTTGTTACTGCTATATTTATTGAATCTCTTCTGATTTAAGCTTAGTGATGATTTGAATTCAGTTAGTTCAGTGATGAATTGTTTATGTCTGTTTGGTGTTTTGAATAATGGAACTATGAAGTCTAAGATGAAACTTCTGCTCGTTTCAAATGTTGATTTTTGTTTACATGTTTGAATACTTGCAAGGATGGATGTAATGGTTGGATGAATAGGTTAAAGCATACTGAGTTTAATAGTATGGTGAAGAGTAAAGTTGCATGCGATTAATTGCCCTATGAATGATTTATGAAATTAATGTCTGCTAATAATCTGCTCATGTCCTTATTTTGATTGCTATGCACAAATCTAGTTTGCAAGAGTATGCCAGTGACTATTTTTCTTGCAAATTAGGGAGCCTACTTGGATTAATTAAGGCATAAGGAGGCACGAATTAAACTGCTTGAGACTTGTTTGTCGTAATACTTTGGGACTGCATAATTGCAGAATGATAGCTCATAGGTTTAGCTATTAGTCATATTCGATGTAATAAATTAATTGATACATGAAGATTGTATGGGAGATCACTATAATTATTTTTTAATTATCGAATCACTGTTCCCAACAATTAGTTGTAATTAGAGTTGCTGTTCTCGTAAATTTGAAATTATGTTTTTCTGATGCAATTATTTTGCTCGTGTTTATATGTTACACTCTGTTGAAACTAAAAATTGGACCTGTACGCTAATAAATGTGGCTCAACTTTAATAGACCTCAACTTGTATAATGATGATTTATGGGCTGTTACTGTAAATTTGAGTCATGATTTTCCGTATTGACTTAGTGCTGTAATTTTAAACATGGATGATCATGTATTAATGTTTGGAGCAATTTGTAATATCCCCATTTTGTGTAATGACGCATGTGGAGTCATGCTGAAAGTTCAGGTTGTGGTGCGCTATTGGGCCTTTGTATTCGTATGCTTCTGGGCTAGACATGGTTGCGGACCCAATTTGGGGCCTGATTGTGTCACGACCCAAAATCTCACTAGTAGTGATGACACCTAACCCAACCCGTTAGGTAAGCTAATTTCCAACTATCCAATTTCAATGAAATTAATTAAAAAAAAATATCTAAAATCAATACATCTTCCCAAGAACTGGTAGTACAAATCATGAGCTTCTAAGAATAGAGTATACAAAGTGCAAATGAAATAAATACATAGTCTGTTTGAATAATACATAAACAGAGCTTATATAAATCTAAGGCTACCCTGAACAAGAGGCAGCTACAACAGGAACGCAGGTACATCTTCAAATCCCGCAATCATCGAGCATAGCAACAACAACAGCCAATATCTGCACGCAATGTGCAGAAGTGTAGTATCAGTACAATCGGCCCCATGTACTGAGTAAGTATCAAACCTAGCCGTAGGTTGAAAGCAGTGACGAGCTTCTACCAAGGTCGGGTCCAAAACCACTAGTCCACAACAATCCATAACAACATAAAACAAATAATACCAGAAGAAACACAGAGATAAAATGCTCAGCCAAATCATGATTTTAAAAATAATAGTTCTTCCTTTCAAATACATCAGTGAAAACCCAAATCGTTTGCCGAAGTTGCCAAAAATATGAATAATTTGAGAACAGTAATTTTTTCCAAAAATCATTTCAATAATAAATAATATGTTTCATTTTCCTTCCAGATAACATGCGTAAAACAAATGCATCACTATGCCCATCTGTCAACATGCGTGAGAAATCATGAATAATGTGATACCGTACATCATGAGGAAAAACACATCTCTATGCATATATGTCATATGTGCATGTCAATGCAATGTATCTCAGAGATTGTACTCATCTCACTGTCTCGCATTCTCTCACACTATGTTCAGCACACTCAATCACTCAGTGCTATATAATAACTGCTGCGGCGTGCAGCCCGATCCCTGTTTATAGTCGACTGCGCTCACTGAGGGTGTGTACAGACTCATGAGGGGCTCCTACAGTCCAAGCGCTATAAGCACAGACAACTCACGTGCTGCACGGACAAGTCACGTGCCATAATATCAATCCCTGGATCCGCACGGTCAACTCACGTGATACGCGGACAACTCACGCGTTATGGTATCAATACCTGGATCTACACGGACAACTCACGTGCTATGGTATCAATACCTGGATCCGCACGGACAACTCACGTGCTACGCGGATAACTCACGCGCTATGGTATCAATACCTGGATCCGCACGGACAACTCACGTGCAATAGTATAATATATATAAAGCCAACATGGCCTGGTGCGGCATGCAGCCCGATCCAAAAATATCCTCACAATTAGGCCCTCGGCCTCCCTCAGTCATCAATCTCTCCAGTCTCTCTCTCATGGGCTTACAATGTCACGAGAATAGTCCAAATATGATGATATGATGTATCAATAATTAACAACAGAGATTGAGATATGATATGCAATGAAATGAATATGACTCAGTATGAATTTTCAATTTAAAATAAATATTTTACAGCAATATGACCTCTGTGGGTCCCAATAATACTGACACATAGCCTCAACATGATTTTTAATATGCTTTTTAGCTCAATTTCTTTAACTCATAAAATCACATGAAAAATGCCAAGATCATTTAACTACAAAATTCCACAGAAACATTTATGTCACAATTTCTACAGTGCACACCCATACGCCCGTCACCTAGCATGTGCGTCACCTCCCAATAATTTACAGAATACATATATTCAGGATTTATACCCTCAACTCCAAGATTAGAAGAGTTACTTACCTCGAACAAGTCGAATCCAATGTCGAGTAAGCTAAACAATGCTCCAGAAATCCCATTATGCGTGTATCAATTCCCGAACGGCTCGAATCTAGTCACAATTAATTTGATTCACCCCACAAAATTTATAGGAATTAATTCCATATCAAAATACTAATATTTCCATAAAATCCGAAATTACGCCCCAAAAATCATTCGTGGGACCCACATCTCGAAATCCGCCGAAACTCACAAAATACGATAACCCATCCAATTACAAGTTAAACCATACTAATTTTACTCAAATCCTACTCCAAATCGGTATTCAAACTTGAAAAATTCGTTTTGTGACATTATAGAAATTTCTTCTATTTCTCTTGAAGATTCAATAATCTTACACCAAAAATGAAGATTAATTCATGGAATATAATCACAAGGGAGTTAAGAACACTTACCCCAAGTTGTGTGGAAAGTTTCCTCTCCTAAATCGCCCAAACCGAGCTCTAAAATTCGAAAATGGGTGAAAATGTTGAACTCTCGAATTTAAGGTTTTGCCCCAGCGATTTCCGCATATGCGGACAATATTTGCGCACCTGCGCATCCCCTTGTGCGAGAAAAATGTCGCATTTGCGGACTCCACTCGCCTGCCCAGTTTGCGCATCTGCGAGGAAACCATCGCATTTGCGAGGCCACATCTGCGGGAAAGACATCGCAGATGCGAAACTCCTCAGCTTCCAGCCATCTCGCTTCTGCGCGCAATCTTCCGCATCTGCGCTCACGCAGGTGCGGAATTTCCCTCGCACCTGCGACCAATGTCTCACAGTCCCTGCCCGCATCTGTGCTTGCCAGGCTCGCTTCTGCGAGCTCGCACCTGCGATGGAATTTCCGCAGGTGCGATTGCATCAGATGGCAGAAACTTCAGTTTTGTTTTTTCTCCTAAGTCCGAATTGATCCGTTAACCATCCGAAACTCGCCCGAGCCCCTCGGGACCCCGTCCGAACATACCAACAAGTCATATATCAACATACCAACTTAGTCAAACCTTCGAATCACTCAAAACAACATCAAATCATCAAATTACCCTCAGATTCAAGCCTAAGAACTTCTAAATTTCCAAATTCGGCAACCAATGCCGAAACCAACCAAACCACGTCCGAATGACCTCAAATTTTGCACACACATCACAAATGACAATACGAACCTACTCCAACTTCCGGAATTCCATTCCGATCCCGATATTATATTTTTCACTGCCGACCGAAATCGCCAAATTTCCAATTTCGCCAATTCAAGCCTAATTCTACCACGGACCTCCAAATCACATTCCGAACGTATTTCTAAGTCCAAAATCACCTAACGGAGCTAACGGAACCATCAGAATTCAAATCCGAGATCGTTTACACATAAGTCTCCGGTCACTATTTTAACTTAAGCTTTAAACCTTGGAATAAGTGTTCCAATTCCTTCAAAAACCACACTGGATCCGAACCAATTACCCCGGCAATTCACACAACAACCGTAAAGTACAATTTGAGAAGTAAATGGGAAAACGGGGTTGTAATACTCAAAACGACCGGCCGGGTCGTTATAGATTGATTCCACACTCTATTATAATTTGGGCTCAATAGTAGGCCCACAAATGCTCACAACAGACCTGGTGGAGGTCTGAACGTGAGTATTTCCTCATGTATAATTCACGATATTTTGGAACCAACTATTAACCATTTTAGTACTTAAGTAAATCTATTGGAAGCATTAATCAACTCATATAATCAACCGTTTCACATCCTTAGTTAAAATTCATAACCAATTAATCTTTCCATTAATTCAGGGCCCCCAGTTTATGATGTAAAGTATTTTTTTAAATAACATAATAGTTTTGTAGGCAACAATGGCATTTGAACTCACACTTTCACAATGTCTAAATTCACAAACTCTTGACCTTCATACGCAATCCCAAACATAGGAATAAATAACTCATGAATATGCGTAGTTGCTTTAGGCGCGCTTTAATAATTCGTCATGGTTATGGGTACGGTTCCTATGGCATAATTTTGACACTTAATCCCAAATTCAAGTGCACGTTCGTGTGACTTGACCCCAGCTTTAACGTAATAATAAAATTTAAATATGTCGTAAATTGCGGGTGCATTTCACGCGGCGTGATTTGCGATGTGTACAAAATAATAAATGTACGATATCGTAACTTGTTTTAAGATAATCCCATAAATGCCTAAAACGAATTAAAATATATAATTAGAAGCGGTAAGAAGGCAAAAATGCACATAGGTTTAAAAAAGCAATAATCGGATAATTAAGCCAGGTATAATTGTGAAGCGATCGTGATAAAACCACAAAATCCGGGAGCGCCTTACACATTCTCCCGGGTTAACAGAATTTCTTACCCGGTCTTCTGTGTTTCACAGACTTAAACATAGTCAAATTTTCTTGAATTGGGATTTGACATAAATTGTGACTTGGGACACCATAATAAATAGTTCCAAGTTACGACTCTTTAAAAAAAAAAAAATCTCATTTCAATAATGTCACTGAAAGTGGAAAAACTCCTTTCCCCCGTAAAAAAGAGGCGTGACAATGTTCTAATTGATCGGTTGGGTATTTGCACACATGGTGCGTTCTGTAACGACCTAATCGGTCGATTTACTTTCTAGATCCCCATTCCCCTAATTAAGACACCCCGTATGTGCTTTTATTATTTTATGACTTGCGGGGATGGTTAGTTTGGGTTTGGAAGGGTTCGGGTTAAAATTGGATCACTTAGTTCCTTAATAGTGGCCTAAGATGGGCAAATTTGACTTGAGTCAATATTCTTAGTAAACGATCTCGGAATCGAGATTTGATGGTTCCAATAGATTCGTATGATGATTTTGGACTTAGGTGT